GAAAACGATGTACCCATGTATGTGCGGGAAAAAAGGCAAATTTTCAAATGACACTTTCGAAAGAGATTAATTTTGGTGCGAATTTTGTACGCGACAAAAGTTTGTATGGGTCATCCGAAATGTAAATAGCATCGAGTGTTGTTATTGCGTGTAAATACCGACACATGACTTGATACATTCAACCCACTGAACTCGGTTGTTGTTTATGATTAATTTTGATGATCATCGTTCGCATTTATCTACCTGTTTTTCATTACTTTCTGCATTTCTTGCCGGCGACTTGAGATGCGGAACAAAAACACGTTTACTGCACAAATTACGGCAGGCAACACTTTTTTCTGGACTTTTTTTTCAAACAGTAAATGGAATAAATCATATTGCCGCCACGTATGACCATATTACGATGCTGTTTTTTTTGTATTATTCGCATTATGTCTACACTCTCGAGTAATTTAAATCGAATTGGCAACGTCTTTTGGCTATTTTGTACTCGTAACGCCACTATTGAATTTGTCGAGCGTCAAGCCCATTCAGTTTTTCTTCTCTAAATAGGCAATTTCCGATAATGGTATTTTCTCCATCGTCTAATGGGCCATTCATAGAATTTAAGATAGAAACGTTTGTACGGGATGGAAAAAAATTCTTTCGTCTCAATTTTAGAATCATTATGATTGTTTAACGTATATGAACTGCTGATGCTGCTGGGTACCGACACGAAAATTGAAAAAAGTAATACATGTATAATGCGGCTGACCGTAGAAAATGGCCATTAAATTGGCCGACACGTACTTTGATTTTGCGGTGTGTATTACACACTGAAACCGATGAAAAATAAAATGAATTGTAAATAAGTGAATGGAATGGAATTTGATTTGGTGGGCGGTGAAATTTGTTATTTTTTATAAATATAAAATGTGCAGCGGCGATAATATCGAGAATTTTGATCGTTATAAATATAAATTGATTTTATCGAATCTCGTTGAGAATGCATAACTCTCTGTGTTTAATTATGATACTTGAGTCTGTGAAAGACTTTCATTCCAATCCACCTTGCAGCAAACTGCTATTCAGCAAAGGTGCTTGCCCGCATGCAAATGATCATGCATGTACCAAGTGTTTTAACATTGCATTGTTCACATACTCGATTATGTGTACGTGTGTAAGTCTTTTTGTTTGGTGTTGTGGTCGAGCATGGTGCCGATATTGTACTACTACACAACTCTAGACAAGATTTTAGATTTCAAGATCATTCGTTTGGTCTCTGTTGTTGCGCCCAGCAAAATCTCGAACCAGCATTTCTCTTTTATATACTCTATCGTGCATATGCTCGCCGTTTTGTACCAGCAACACAAATCTTATTCGCAATTCGCTTACAATGAACCCAAAATGAATAAAAAAAATATAGGTAAAAAAGAAATGAAGGCACGTTGAGAAGGGATTGAAATTCAAAGCGAAAAAATAGAAACAAAGTATATATACTAAAGTACCTTGTTATTTTGCGGCACAGAAAAACAAAAATACAACAAATTAAATAAATAAATAACTAACAAAAGATGCATACAACACACCAAACCAAAGCAAATAAGATGAGATAAAAGAGAGAGAAAAAACCTAGTCGAGCCTACGATGTAAAATCAGATTGGAGCGCAGTCACTTTTTTTTCTTCGTACATTTGTACCATGCCAAATACGAGCCACAAGAATTTTTTTCTCGAAATGAAAAAAATGCACATGTAATGCTACAATCTTTGTCTGTCTTCATAGATACACAAAATACGAATCAAAACAATCTTGCAACAGTTAGCAAGAGATGATATTTTCTTTTTCAGATTATATACACACTTAAAATAGTTTCAATGCAACCAGACCATTTCATTCATGCAAAATAAATGATGTTCTCTCGGTTACTCTTTTCTTCTTCTTCTTCTTTTTCTTTACATTGCGATTTTGTTGTTACGGTCTTTTTTTTTCAGCATATTACAAGCCATGCTTTCCCATCGCGCGCAATTCGCAAATTATTGACTCAGTTTCAGCAGTACGAGAACAACAGAGAGACAACAACAACAACGTAAAATACTCACACGCGTACAATTTGTTCGTCATTTTGTACAGTTAGTGTTTGTAAAAACACATACTACATCCGGAATAAGACAAATAGAAATAATCATAATAATCGACGTCAAATATTTCATGTGAAATAATTAGAAGCTGTGGGCAGTCGCATTTTTCAAAAAAAAAAAATGCACATGCATAACATTTCAATAAACTGAAGTGGTTTTCATTCAATTATGCGAAATATTTTGACCTAGGAAATCTTAGAGAAAAGTTGTTGTTTGTGATTGTGGTTATTCAGTTGACCCAATTTAGAAGAAACAACATGAAAATAAAAATAAACTCCTTACAAATATAAAAAAAAACTTTACCGCTTCAAGAAATCCACTTGTCGATGGCACTTTGAAGTGGACTATGATTGACACAATGGTTTCAGCAAAGTGCTTGTTTGCTCAGATCATGAGAAATTGTTCATAGATTTTTTTTTCTTTCAAATCAATACTCCGATATTATCAATAAATATTTACGCTTTGCGGAGGAGAGTGAAGATTTTGTCAAAACTTTCATCGGCACCAATGTGAATGATACACTGTTTGCCAATAGCTTGTTGATCGTCGGGAAACCATTGATTCCACTATGTTTCAATTGTTTCTTTATCGCCCGCCGATTTTTAGAAAGCACTCGATAATTTAATAATAACCGACCAAAAATCCATATTTCCATTTTCTGTATACAACAACATTTCTTGCTGGGAACTCAGATTCAAACACCGACCGGTGCATGTGTGGCGAAGAGTGATTTCATCAATTATTGTTTATTTTTATTTTTTAATCGTGATTAAATTAATGGATTTTGACTCTGTGTTTTCCGGAAAGTCTTTTGTAATTTATTGATTCTTATCAGTCGATCGTTCTTCTTGGCTCTTCTAATAAATTTCGCTGCACTATTGATCCATTGACATTTCGTTCAACCCGAATTTAATTTAAGTGATTTAAAAAAACATTCAATCGAACGATGTATATACATTTGCATATTCACCTTTGAAAGCCCCATTTTCCAGAGGCACACCGTGTCAAAGTTCTTTTCGATATGTTATTGCCGGTTATTGCATATTTATTGCTTGTAAATAGAATATATTTCATTCGAATAGAATAGAGGTTGTCAATTATTCAAGTGAAATCGAATCGTAGGAGTTCCGTGATCAAGTGGTCGGCATTCATCGAGAACAGGAATCGCTTGACGGGTGATAAAATGTCATTCGGTCAATTGTGAAACTCTTTTTTTTTTGTCTATTTCAATCATAATTGTTGTTTTTCGTTAAATGCAATTTCAAGATAACAACGTGTCGATCGAGAGAGGTCGATCGTAGAAGAATTAACTTTCTCTGTGTGTATGAAACAACAATTCCTTCTTCCGTTCTTCCGCATCGCCAAAACCACATACCACATTTTTCGTATATATTTATTTTGTTGCTGCGAATAAATTAACGAGTTTTCTTTTTTTGCATAACTAAGTGCACAGTATTCATTCAAGTTACCGGGCGGCCAGTTGAAATACAAATCGAGGAAAAGTGTAAAGTATTTCATTTTACAGTTTGAAAAGAAGAAAAAAACACATTCATTTGCATAATTTGTGCGCGTATTCGTCGTCTGCAATACAATATATACTTATGCTTGCTTGATTACTTGTTGCCATTCTTTTTCATTTTTCTCTAATTGCCGATGTGTGTTGCGGTTCCTTTTCAACGTTTACACAGGCAGATGAAGTGCATGCTCCAAAAATCCACCGCTTTTTGAAGTGAAATCGGATGTATGCCGAACTAATTCAAATTCTCTCGCACTCAAATCCATTTAATGCGCCAAGATTGTGAAGAAGATGCGGGCGAAAAACTAATCTGCTTCGAATATGTGTGAGTGCAAGCTTGTGTGTTTTCATTCTATGTGCCAATATATAGTAATCCATCATGGCATTTCTCTGCCCATAACAAAGTGCTTTTGATGCCATTGTTGTTGTTTTCTTCGCACATCATTCTTCATGCGATCTTTACATCGAAGTAGGTTTTATCCATTTGTTTCCCATTGTAATCACATCAAAAATTTTGTGGAGAAAAATCCAAACATTTCGTTTAGTTTCGATGAATGCTTCACACATATTCGCAATCAAACATATCATTCAATGTAATTTCGATCGATTAACGAAAAAAAAAAAATTGCCGAGAATAACAACAATTCCAACGAGCGACCATAATAAATGGTGAAATGATAATTCTTATATGTATGTGAAAATGAAGAAATCGCAACCGCGTAAACGTGTTAAACAAGCGGGTAACAGGCACGCAAACACGCAGCCCTTCTAATTTATTTTGGAATTAAAACGTGCGAGAGGCGCAAATGGTGCGCTGTTGTAAAAAAAACATTATTTTCTTTCTTTCGAGATTGAAATGAACGAGAGAGAGCCAGTGACGGTGGCTGTTGTGTTTGAGTAATTTCTGCGTTGCGAGTATATGCTCAACAATGATTTGGCGAATTCGTGTACACAACAAATGAAAACTATGGCAATCGGCCAAATCGAAAAATGGTGAGCAATTGAAGAGATAGAAATTAATCAAATCATCAACGGTAGCTAACCAAAACAACTACATTGATACATGAAAAAAAGAAGACCAACAATATTGCAACTGAATGCAATGTGCAGTGCCGAGAAGTGAAAGAAGAGATAAAGAAAAAAGAGGCAAAGCAAAAAAAAAACCTAATCTCAAGCACAAACACTGCAATGCACCGCACAGCACTGAAACCGATGGAAAAAATGCAATACATTTTTATGCCTTAATAGATTTGCTCTAGCAATTTATTGAAGCTAAAAATTTTATTCAATTATCATTATGCACATTAACACGCTCTAAAACCATTGGTTCCCTAATGCGATCTTATTTAATCGCTGATCATCGGCAGCTCTGAAACAATTGCTCAAGATCGTTCGTTGGATGTACATCTCTCGTAATTCGTTTGGGATTTTTTTCTCTTGTTTCGACGCCAGCAGTCCAGTAGAGAACCGACCAAATTGCATCGTGGATTTATTTTTGTTGTGCATCCTTTAAAGAGATCATTGGCTGGCAGTGTGCGATAGAAAAGTTTAGTGCAAAAAAAGTTCATGCAGTGTGAATTTGAGAAAATAATTTAAAAAATACACATATATATATAAAAAAATAAACGTAGCCAAAATGGGAAAGTTGCTGGGGATTGTATGTGCTGTTTTATGTTTTGTTGTTCTAGTTAAGGCTCACAATACCAAACCATTGGCAGCAAATAGTGGCAGCAGTTTAAATGCATTCAGCAAATTTTATAGAAATTGTGAAAATGCGGAGGATATATTTCGTTGTATAAAGCAACAAGCATTGAAATTAGTCAATCGTGCATTGAATTTACAATCGATTAAAGTGGTCGATGGTGTGACATTGTTGCAACGTGATCAACAACAATCGTTAAATGCCCAACGCAAATCAGCTGATAATGATATTCTACAAAGTGAATCGGAAATTCGTAGTCTATCGTCCGATCAATTGGACACAACACTTATGAATGGTATTGGTAAATTGCTAACCAATTTTCAATTGCAATTGAATTTACCAAAAGTGATTGACTATGCACAAAATGAAGTTGTCGAAGTGGAAGAAGGACGAAAGAAGACGAAAAAATATTTGGGTCCATTTTTAGCAGCGATGGCCATCAAAGCGGGAATTTTAAAATTGGCCTACCACTCGATCGCTATTGTTGCCGCCAAAGCATTGAGTAAGTTTCACTGATTCAGTGTAATTTCAAATTGAAACATATCACACAAAAGATATCTTTTTCTAATTGAAAATTATCATATTTGATCATTTTTTCTCGTTTCAAATATACAGTTATTGGTAAAATTGCACTTGTAATCAGTGCAATTATCGGTCTCAAGAAATTGGTTGCACCCGAAGGTCATGAAAAAACAACATATGAAATCGTGAAACATCCACATGTTCAACAATCACACAGTTACTCATCGTCCCATGGTGAATATGACAATCACGAAGGCGTTGGTCAATATCACCGCAGTTTTGACCAATACGACGAGCTAATGATGAGAAATCCGGCTTTCCGAAACAATTTATCTCCTAAATACAATTAATTTGGCACAATTAATTGATTCTAGTGAGGAAAAATAGGTAGTAGAGGAGAAAGTGAATGGCTTATTTAGACAGAAAAGAATGGAACAAAAAATTAAACGTAGACGTTAGAAGCAGACAAAATCAACCAAAAATTTAAACCAAAAATAAAGAGAAATGAATACTCAAACGAAAGCTTCACCAGTTTTTACTAAATGCGATGACTTTAAAAATGATAGCGGAAAAGGAAACGTAAAAAATGTACACCAAAGTCTCTTTTGTCTTTATTTGAAAACAAACATGAAATTTCGTATTATCATCAAAATATCGGTACAAAATCGTGCTCCAAATTTCAAGACGAAAAATGCCAGCCAATTGAAGTGACCAACGAAGAAAATCGTTCTATTGGATATTTGATTGAGGACATTTATTTTTCGTGTGGAATTTATGCCGACACGATGGAGAATCGAACATTGACCATTTTTTTCAAAACATTTATCATCCATTCATGCCAAACGCAAAACTCATTCCAAAACATAAAAAGACTATCTTAAACATAACACACACACAAAAAAACATACAAACACCTACAGAATTTTGATTTTGTAACATTTAAATTGATGATTTTGCCGAGAAGCCTCTCATACTGCGAGAGCCTTTCAATTTCGAGGATTAATCACATATTGTTGTTGTTGTAGACGAACGGGCTGACCAAAAAAATATATATATAAATATAAAATGAAAATATTTCTTCTGTTTATTTTTTTGCATCAAACAAATGATGTTATTATTTGTTTGGTAATAAAGTGTAAGTGAATTATCCAATAAGTATTTATTTATTTATTTATGTATTGTACTCCCCCGAAATACCTATTTATTGTTTTCTATTTACATTGTTTATATGTTTTTTTTATTTATTGAACATTACTAAATTATTATCCATTAATTTAAACCTTTTTTTTGTGTTGTGTGTGAACAGAACAACGAGACGAAAAACGAATGGCATACATTCCTTTAGCAGTTATCATTATCTATAAAACAAAATGAGATAGAAAATTGAATTAAAAACCGTGTATTGTAACAGCAAATAGCGAGCTTGAGAAGTTTATGAATAAAATAAATAAATAAATAAATATTACGAATACGTAATTTGAGACAACAAACATTTTCTTCTCTGTTTTTCTTTCGTGAATCATTTGCGACATTTTATATAATTCACCATTGCAGCAATTTTTTTGTCTTTCCTTTTCTATGTTTCAGATGAAGAATTTTACAAGTGCATCAAGAATATCTTGCGCTGGATCACAACATAAATCAACGCTTTTTTTCGCAAAGAAAATCACATTTTCCCGTTGGTGTAAAACAAAAGCCATAACCGTGTGACTGCAGCAATAAAAGTGCGTTGTTACTGTTGGCACAGAAAAATCATGAAAAATCGGTTCCTATTCATTTTTCAAAATGTTTCTTCTAACTAGATTTATTGCCGTACATTATTGTGTGCAACACGTCAATTTAACATGCATTTCAAATCTAACATTTCGGTCGACATTTGGTGGTTAATAAATTTAATTAGCGTGAAATGGCTTAAGAATCCAAGTAGATAGTTAGAATAAGCTACAAACGAATGCAAAAATATTATGAACAAATTATCGCTTTGTTTCCAGGCGTTTCCCAAGTTTCACTTTATAAGACTGAATTTCAGTTGAAACGTCAATTGAAATATGCAATGAGAGCAAAGAGAATGCTTCGCTGTTTATCGCATAAAAATGGAATTTAATGAATATATATCAAAAATGATGATGATGATGATGATTAATGCTGATTCATAGTAAACCAGAAATTGAATGTATGTCTGTGGTACACAGAAGTGCCAGAAAATCAAACAAAAATTAACTAAAGACATTGCTTGATCAATTCTTCACAAACCATTTTCGATCTACTTTTTCTTCTCATTTGCTATTATTATGAGAGAAAATACATTGGTAAATTGGTTGGCATCAAAATTAAAGAGTTAAAAGCGAACGCATTATGATTAACTATGAGGCAGTGAATTGAATGAAATTTATATTGAAGCTCGTTAGTTTGAAAGAAGAGGAAGAAAAAAAACTGTTTTCAACAAAGGCATTGCAATGAAAACGAGCCCCAAATTCAGGCTGTTCTTCACTTTCTGTATCAAATGTATTAAGGTAATGTTTCACTTTTCCTTTGTAGATGTGGTCGGCCAAGTAAATGTGCCCACTAAAGTAACAATTTCAAAAATGAGATGAGAAACACATGGGCAGAGAGCGAGAGAGAAGTCTGGCAAATAATCAAAATGCGATATTTGTGTGTTTGTTGGAAAATTATGCGAGCTTGAATAGGCAATATTGTTCGTGTCAAAAATCGATTTAAATTAAAATCAAATTTTAAAGAAATGTAAGTAATCAACGATACTAACAAGACTTTGTACTGAGTGAAGAAGTAAAAGCATCGCAAATATTTTAAATGTTTCAATCGGCCCGCCTATATCAAATGCCGTACTTTAACAGTTGACATACATTTTGAGCGATCTGAATGCCGAACAACTGTTCAGACTTTATGTGTCGTCGCAATCATATGCGTTACATCGAGATGCGAGAATGTTGAATTTTTCTTAGCGAAAGTAAAATATGCTAACTGTAAATAATAGCCTATTTTGGGAGTAAATGTTACGCTAAATCGATCGCACTGAAAACGAATTAGCGACTAGTGAACAATCCATCAGAATAAATGGTACAACAGACAAATGGATCGTACATGCGAGCCATGTCAAAGAAAAACGAACGTTTTTTTTTGGTGACAGTTTAAACGAATGATAGAGAGGAAATAAAGTTGAGTCGAATCGACAGACATATCCCAAGTAGGTAAAATTGACTTATTTGGCGCTCTATCTTATCATTGGTTCAAGTCGTTTTCATCAAATCAAGAGAAATTCTAGTAATACTCTATGATTATCTCGGCGTTATGATCGGTTTTTGTTGTGCCTAAGCGTTTGCTTTGTTTCCGATGAATCATTTCTTGGTATGCGGCTGCTTTGCCGCAGAGAGGAAGAGAAAGAGAACTAAATCTCTCGACACCAAGCACTCTGCATCCGTATGTGTAATTCAGTTTTGTTTTTTGTTTCACTAGTACTCTACATACCCATTCATTTCCATGGCCAATAAAAACTAATTATTTATACCGAAAAAAAAAAACTCAACTCTATGTAATATAAAACAAATAGAGCGTGATGTAATATTACTTCTTATCTTGAGTTTTAGCTCTATTCCATACGAGCGCATCGTCGAACTAAGCACAATCTCGTTTAAAAGACAAACTAAAACAGCGTATAATATGTATATGTTGTTTCGTTTTGGTGTGTATAATTGCTTTTTGTCTTTGGTGCAAATTCTCTGCTTGTTTTGCTTCCCGTTTTGTTCTTGTGTTCAATAAAAAGTGTGCGCGTTCGCTCGTTTCGGCATCATCCGGAACAAAAAACAATCAACCGCGCGTTGAAACATCTAAAGAAAAACATCAACAACACGCAAAACATCGTTCAATTCACTTGTTGTCTATGCTTATAGACTTCGTTAGATCAAGCAAGCCTCATTTCGAATCTTTTTACCCCGATTTTTGCGCCACAGCACACACACACACACACGAATCTATACAAAAAAACTGTTTCAATTATATGCGATTTCCCTCTTGTAATGATTCGATTTTGTTTTGCACCGACCAGATTCACTCGCGAAACGGTGTATTACTTTACATTTGGTTTTGTCGGAAAAAAAAGAACGTTTCAAGCACGAGAATTTGGTATTTGTCTATTGGACATACAAAAAAAATAAACAGTGTCTTAAACGGTATCTCGTTTGACGTCGTTTGGATAGCAATTAGGTCCATTTAACGATTCAAATTTCTATTGCTGATATGGTTATGCCGCCTCAAAATCTAATGCCTCTTTCCCTGTTCACTTGCAACAGATTATACAGTATGCATTCTCTCAAAAAAGGCAAACTAAAACGAAAACGGCTCTTTTTAAGCACAACATTCTTTCTTTGTTCTTCAATGTTTTCTTTCTTGTTCGATGCTGTAAATTAATTTAAAAAACACTCACACATTTGCTGGAACAATTCATGGCTGATATATGTTCTACATTTAATAAATGTAACAATTCTCAAGTGTAATTAAAACTAAATTATATGCGATGATGATTTTGCCAAGCGATCACATGCGTGAATCCATCAAATGGAAAATTAGTGTCAATTGAAAATGACATCTAACACACAGAGTGAAAGAGACTTTTTTTTGACAATTTATCTTTACATGGATCACATAGCTTAAGATTCAAATCATTTTGTTATAATTCTAAACTTTCAATGTAAATCGAAAAAGCAATTAAACATTTTTGAATATAAATGGAAATGATTCTGCTCGCGCATCTTTAGTTTAGCGAAGAATTTTCCGTGTGAAACAAGTTTGTGAATTGTTTGATTTTCTGCGTAAATATGATTCGTTGTAAGCATCAGTATCGAAGTGATGGTTTACATAGTATCTTGATTTGAAGAAATATAAAAAAGAAGAAGAAAAAGCACCTGCATTCGACATTGCAATTTTTAAGTTGATTCCTGAAAGTAAAAGAAATCTGAAAACTAGTAATCAGCAACTATAAAAACCGGGCCATAAAATCCAACGGTTAAAATCAAGAAACAACTGCATAAAAATACCACTGACGGTGTATAAAAAAAATGACTGTATTCAAAAGTGGAATATTTTTACTGTTTATGTTCATAGAACAATCGACACAATTTTCGATTTCAAGTGAGATGAATAGTGAATTGCCTTCGTCGTCACCGTCACCACCATCGTCATCAAATCAAACCGGTTGCCTGAAGACAATCGGACAATGTTTTCGACACCGGCCAAATGAAGTGGTCGCATGTGCAATTGAACATGGCATGAACAATATTGAATGTTTCATTTCGAGCAATAAGACATGGCATCTCAATGAATTCATTTCACTGAAAAAGAACGACGATTGGAAACCGACCGAAATTGAGGCTCGTCATGATCAATCGCTTTTCGAGGCGGTTTTAAGTAAATTGAGTGATTTGATTGCATCAAGATCGATTCAATTTTCGATGCCACAAAATGTTGATGATATGTCGCCCGAAGGTCGTGTCAAATCGGGCTTTGATTTTTCCGGCTTGACAAATTTTGTTGGAACGGGCATTGGACCTGGTAAAAAACAAAGTGATTTTCAAAACCACATTTTTAGTCCATTTTATTCGCTCGAGGAGATCAATTTGCTAACAATATGAATTCAAACCAAATCCATTTCAGAAGGCAGAAAAAAGAAAAAACATGGAATGATGGGCATGACAGTTATCGCAATGATCGCGCAACTTTTTCTCGGGAAGATCGCTTTTTTGGCCGGTGCAGCATTGCTGCTATCGAAAATTTCACTGTTGTTTTCCATTGTCGTAGGACACTTTTTTCTTATACTTTTCATGTTTATTATTTTGAATTTCAACTGAAATATTAATAGCATTTTTAAAATATTTTCTGTTTTGGTGCTGTGCGTGTTGGCACTTAGAACGCATTGAAAAAGCATGGAACCGGCAATTCGGGAGGCAGCGGAGGTGGAGACCATGTCGTATACAGTGATCCAGGGCACGGTGGCTATCAACGAAGTATCATCGAATCACCGATGGATTGGGTTTTCACGGATGAACCACCAAGCACATTTTCACCGATTCTAACGTAATCAATAGCTGGATAGCAGACCTAGTATACTCCCCGTATAAATCCAATAATCCAATAATCCAACGTAATCAAGATATTTATACATTTGTCCACTGCTAGAAATATACTTAAGTGAAGAAAGGCATTCTTATACTTAAGGCATGAATGAAAAAAATAAGTTTCATATTAATTCGTAAGAATTGCCTATATTTCGGCATTATTTACAAATCAACTATTGGATATTTTTGTAATAAAAAAACACAAACTGAAACAACCTCGCATTTTTTTGCGTCAAAATCTTATAGTGATTCCTGATTTCATTTTTTTCGATTCCTTACCTCTCATTCGATCTCTCTCTTTTTCTCTTTCTTTCTTTCTTTCTTTCTCTTACTCTCTCTCCGCGAAAATATGAACTTCCTTTGAGGAATCGGATGTCAAATGCCCCAAAAAAATAATAAAAATCTGCACTTTGTGATATTTGGATGAAAATTTGACATGACAACTTTACACTAAACTCACAGACTCGGCATTTATTGCACACAAAAAGTAAAATAGTTACAAAACAACCAAGAAGCACACAACAATGAAATTTGTTAAAATGATAAAAAATACTTCCGAGCCCCTAGGATGAAGATCGTGCACTGAATGACCAAGCCCATCTTTTGCCATACGAAAAAGACTTTGAATTTCCTATAGAAAATCTTGAACTCGGAAAATTGCTTGGTACTGGAGCTTTTGGTGAAGTCCGCGAAGGAGTTGCACGTGGAATCTTACCTCATGAGGAGAAAACTAAAGTTGCCGTCAAAATGGTGAATGATAAATCGCCTAAGGGAGAAGTAAGTTTACTTTGGAAATTAAATTATATTCATTTACTTTGAATTTCAGTTAGTCAGAAATGCTCATTCACTTTTATATTATGCTCACGTGCTGGCACTAAAAGCTTTGATATCCGAGCTTAAGATTTGAATGTGGTGAATTTACTTGGAGCGTTTACCGATAATATTGAATAAAGTAAATAAATCATTTCCATTTTATGGATAATTTTCAAAAATAAATTTTTTTTTCAATATTTTTTCTACATATTTTTGGATAAAGTGATGGTAATTGTTGAATACTGTGTTTACGGTAACATTAAGGATTTTTTGTGGCATAATCGTGAACATTTTATCAATCAAATTAATTATGAAAATGACTCAATTGATTCAACTGTCGCAAAAGAACGTTCTGATGTACATCACTCAACTGACCACGAAAGTGATGATGAACAAGAACAACAAGTAAGTTCTACGATCCTGAGATGGAATATTTCCTTTTAAAACGATTTCATTGATAATTTTTTCAGTTCGAAGGAAATGAACAATTTTCCATTGATTCCCCATATGCTGATGAAGAATATTTCACTAATTCTCCGTATGGTGTTGAACGAAACCAAGACGCAGAGTCAGACGAATTGACAATCATAAGAGCCAAGCAGAGCTAAATCATGAAGAATATTCATTTCTATATTATGAATAAAAAAATCCTAGTAGAATAAGTTTCATGATGGACAATTATACGATATTTTCCACAAACATCCAGTGAACAGACTAGTATGGGAACTATGTGTATTGTGTAGGACACCAATAGTTGATCAATTTTTTCTTTTTCTAGCTGAAAACGAACATGCAAAGATCGATTCAATTGCAACGTCGGATCTACTTTGCTGGTCATTTCAAGTGGCGCGGGGAATGCACTATATAACATCTCGCAATATTCTACACAGAGATTTGGCTGCAAGAAATGTACTGCTGTGCACCAACAACGTAGTCAAGATTTGTGATTTTGGATTGGCACGAGACTTACATAAGAACGGATATTACCGAACGCGTGGAGAAGTAAGATGTATATATGATTAAAAAAATTAATGTACAGTATAGACAGATGTGTACCCCATATTCGAATATTTATAGGAAAAAGTTCCAATGCGTTGGTTGGCGCTCGAATCTCTTAACGAACCAAAGTACAGTGTACATTCTGATGTCTGGTCATTTGGTATCGTTCTATGGGAGCTATTTTCACTCGGAGAATTACCATATTCTGAAGAAAAAATGCATACTTTTGGCGAGCTAGAAATGCATTTAAAAGACGGACACCGATTGAGTAAACCACAATATGCCACACAAACTATGTAAGTTACGAATGGTTTTTCATCGTTTAAGAAATAAGTAGTAGTGAAAATATTGACATTTTCCAATAAATGTACTGCCAGAGAATTAAATTAGACTGTCGAACTATAGGAGCGATCAGTAAAATTTGTTAACACGATAACCTTCCCCCTGGAAACTAATCAATATCTGACTTCACAGGATGATTGGGGGTTGCGAGAAATAGAAACCATTAGATTTTGAGCAACTTTGGTTCATAGAGTAAAGTTTCATGCCTGATGTGATACCTAGGGTGGCCCAAATCTCACTATCTGAACGGATTGTTGTTCCCCGACCGGTTTTGTTAGCTTTTGGTCCAAAACTAGGTAACTGGCATCATTATATTGTTTAAAGGTTGAAAAAACGACCCAACCCCGACCATATTTCAAATGAAAAAATGTGTATAAAGCAGATTATTTTGAAATCCTATGGACCATCATTTCTAGGGTAATTTTACTTTTATGCACACACCTAGTGTGTAAGGTAAAGTATTGGAATCGGTCGAAAAGTTAACACCAATCAAAAATAAGTTTTCTGGGTGTTTTGTTTATAACTATGTATTTTTGGCCATTTAAATTACAAAATAAAATGTCTTACATCCGTAAGATGAACTTTTCCGCACAGTGATCAAAAACATGCATTCATTACGTATCTTTTACCGTAAATATGAATTCATGAGAAAACTGAATCTGATATAAGTTTTGCGATACAAATAATTTTTGATAGACTTATCCATGCCTGTATGATATCGTAATCATGTGAAAATTTGCAGATGTTATTATTCGCAATTTCGAAACAAATGAAGAAGAAAGAGATTAAAGTTCATGGCAGGGGGAGGCTTTGCATTCCGACCGACTTATAAATCAGTTTATCTTGTAGAGGGAGACCCCTAGAATACATTGCAATCATAAAAGGATAAATATTCGAACTTACTTATTTTAGATACGATATTATGAGGTCATGTTGGAACGCCGATGCCAAGGCACGTCCATTATTCGATAATCTTGAGAAGAAAATTTCCGAGCTTATGGAACCTGGTGTTGTGCAGCATTTTATCGATTTAAGTAAATCGTATTTGGAGTCACATGTGAGCCAAAATGAATCAGGAGAAATGAACTTTATCTCACAAATGACATCACCTGTACTTGACGAAAACGCACAAATGTTAGAAAATTCAAAGACATCCTCTGCTGCTCACTTCGCTTCTGAACAACTAAACAAAACGGCCGAAATACAACCGCTTAATTCTCAATTGAATGAACATAACCGAAAATGTTTTGTACTGAATTAAATTTTAATATAACCTATTTGAACTTTCAAAATTTTTGCAAGTGAATCTTTTTCAATATAAAAATTTTAAAAATTGAAAAAACTTCGAAAAAGATGTGGACGATTTCGTGTGGAATTGTCGTATAATGATGAAGTTGTTATGATTAATATTTTCAAGTGAATCTTTTTCTATACAAGCCATAATAATTGACTAGTAGTTCCTGATATAGCATTTTTTACATACTAATCGATTCCATTCAATTATGTTTTTATTCATTTCTCCTTATCATCTAATTGTTGTTATTTTAAAATATGGTCCAAGAAAAAGATGTTTGATTTTGATGTTTTTTTTTGACTCAATCACATTTAAATAACTCTGTAATTTCAAATGATCAGATAAAAGAGAGTTTGAATTAAGTTAAATTTATTTGGATAAAACACACTCAACCGCTGTACTGTGTAAACTCATCGAACCGTGTGCAAAGCAAATATTAATGGCGACGGACAACGCATTCTCAGCAAGATATTTTTTATGCTGTGGATGGCAGCAGCGCTGAGTGAAACTATGCATATCGCTGTTACCAAAATATAAATAATTTTAAAAATAGCCGAAGATACGGAATTGTCGACTATTTTTAAATAACCCATGCAATAAAGACACAAACAATTCAAGAAATTTAGTATTAATTTGACATTCCTATGAACCAGTCTATCCATTCCCTAGTCCACTATAACTCAAATGGATTCATCATGAAAACGACTACCATCGTAGACTTGATGTCATCCCTTGTGGAAATATTTCGGCTTCATAGCCGACTATAAATTGACTAATTTGGGACAAAAGTGGCTGATATTTCAGCCAGTTAAAGTTAACTATAAGTGACTATATGCGTCTTCATGTAATTTGAGTTGAGAAATGTCGATTGTGATCATAGTTAACTAGTGACTTTTAATATAATCGCTTTTAGTTAACTCTGAAACATAACCGACTATATTCGATTTCAATCATCTATTGGTAATTTTAACCGAATAAAAGTGATAAAAATTGACTTAATTTATAGTCAGTCAGTCATTTTTTTTCACAAGGGATTGTACAATTTCGCCAATTCTATTGTAAGCAACGGATTTTCACATTTCAGATTTCTGCTATACACTTGAGTGAAGAAAGTTATTTTTATACTTAAGACATAAATAATAAAAGTAAGTTTAAAATTAGTTAATAAGAGTTGCCTATTTTCCGGCGTTATTTACCAGTAATTGCTAATTTTGTTCAATGTAAAATGCGTAATTTCAGAACAAGAGTTTTGAATAAAAAACTAACAAACAACTGAAACGTCTCATTATTCGCAATTTTACTTTATTTTTTAGGTCATAATTCTTTCACTTTTTATGATGATTACTGATCAGTCTCATCACAAATATGCTATAATGATATTACATTCCATCTTGCTTATATAAATTCAACCGAACTATTCAATTAAACGATTTCGACATTTATGTGATATTCTTGATTTATTGCCTCGCACATCGGTGGTCCATCGAACATCATCGGTGATGACAACCATAATTTATAAAGGCACAACAGGCATTCATGGTTTTCTTACAAACAAATGATGAAAAATATTTGTTTAAATGGCGACAATAATTTGACTGAACATTAATAACATTCACTTAATAAATGAAAATATGTGCACAATAAATTACGTGACTTCGTATCGAAAAATTCTCTTTAATACATTTAATCAACAAACTATCATAAAAAAAAACAATAATGACTATTCTCCACTTTGATTACTTAAGAAATGAAATACTTCCGTAAAAAAACGGTATCGAATCAATAACATGCACGATTTCAATGTGTTTTTAAAGAAATTCAACGATTTACGAGATAAGAATTCCATTACATCTGTGAGAGTGAGAGCGCCCCATAATAAAACGTAACAATTTGATCTGTCAGCGATTGCCTAGTCTATAAATCGATTAAATGTTAACTCGTACATCGTAAATGTAGAAAAAAAGACACACATATGTACACACAAACACACGATAAATAAGCCAAGAACTTGCATATATTGATTCCATTTGGGAATTTATAAAGATACAATACGTGTATCGTTGCATATATGTTATACTTTCACTCGAAAAGCGCTTGAGATTGGCGTAAGCGCATAACATTGCTTACGGGCTATTAAAAGTAAATCGGTCCGTCATCATCCATTGCAGTAACGGAATGTAATAATAATACATATAAATTGTTAAGTGAGCAAAGTGATAACGTGAATTGTTATACGGCACGTATGTATGGTTGGAATAGCATGTAATCTTTGGTGAAACATGCTATGACATATATGCATCGCCAACATATGACCAATTCTCTTTCGAATTTGGTGCAGTGTAATGAAGAAAATATCAACGGCACACGTGAAATTTTACAATGAATTGCAGAGTCGACCAACATTTCTTCCTATTTGAAACCACATTTTGTGGTACGCTCAAGCGCTAGATGATCGAAAATATGAATGAAGCAAAAAAATAAATCGAAAGCAGACCATTAACAGACAGCCGACGGAATTGAAATTTCACATAACTTCATTAACAATTTTTTTTATCGATATCAAGCACTCAACTTTTATTTACCGCAAATGAAATCAAATTCAAGCCGGAATGTGCACCATACAGTTAACTATTATGATATACCGTTATCGAACGAAAAATATATATATGACAACTAAAGAGTATCATCTAGATTGCGTTAGAGCCAACTCCATTGATGGCATTGCTATTTTTGATACTATTTGCAGCCTTGCTGCTATTGGTAATATCCGCATTTGAATTTTGAATATTTCGAATTGCATTTGGTTTGTGTTCGTTCATGAAGAAAAGTATATTTCATATGGTCAAACATGTGTTACGTTGAGCTCTGACTCAATTGGGTCGCACGGAATTGTGTTACGATAAGAAAGAGCGTAGTATGATGAAAAGGAAATAGCGAGCGAAAAAAAAAAATCGTGAAATTACCGCTCTGTATGTGTGTTTTTTACGGGCGCTGCCCTCGTTGTCTCGTCACTCACCTGCATTTGGTAAAACTAAATCACAACGGTTGTTGTTGTATGTGTGTGTCTTTTTTTTCATGTGCGATTTGTGTCATTTTCTTGACGAACATTGGTGTTGCTTTTATTCATCATTTACCTTCAACACGGTATTACACATTTGTCACATACCGTAGCGCGCGAGCGTGGTTTACTTACCATTTCATTCGCTGCATTTCACGTCCGAAATACTAAAAATGATAATAATACAACAGAAGCAACAACAACAGCAACACAATGTTTTTGTTTACATAATTAAATTGTCTTACTGTGACATAATATCATGATCAAGAAAGAAGCTAAACGGACCGCATTGTTTGACAATAATAACAAGAGACATACACAACTTGGTAATAATTGTCGAATATTTTGTCACCTGTCATTTGAACACAATAAATGGTATGAATAACATGCGCCCAATCGACGGAAATTCCAATAGAAATACGAAAGAAAATGAAATTATTATTCAGAAAATATCTAAGTGATTTCTCACACACAAAAGCCACTTTTATTGGACATTCGTTTTTGTTGCGTTCCATTCGTCTGCCACAACCTAGTCACACAATGATGTGCGTGCGTTTGAGGAAATATCCAATGTTTTTTTTTTTCATAAAGAGATTCGAGGAACAATGTAGCATCTACTTATCATCAAATGACAACGATCAGCAAATGCCTGACCAACTGGATTCCATAAAAAATCAGATGAACCACACGTTGTTTATTCATAGAAAACAAGTCAATAAACTGATTCATACGATAAAACAAGCAAAAAAAACCGTCTATGATAATTGTAGTCACATTTCATCTGCCGCCGAGGTCTTATTTATGCACACATGTACGAGATGCAAACTGCAAAATTCAAACTGCGTTGGTAATCGTATTTGAAATAGTAAATGAAAATTATAGCCTTTTCACAAATGCGTAGGATTATAGTTGTTGGTTGTGTTTTTTATGTAAACAAATATCGTAAAAATGTATATGTTTCATACTATTGCGCACATGAACAGTAGACACTGGTCGTAATGATATTTCGAAAGCAAGTCAAGACTTATCAGACATATTTATTTTATATTGTTACGCGGTTTGAATGTACGCGTGCAAGCGCTACGATCAATGTAAAATCAAAAAATTAATGAGCGAGAATGGCGGCGACGGCGTCAATGCATTATTACAACATACATACAGACGAAATGCGAAATATTTCTAACTCATCCGATGTTCTTGCACATTACATCGAAATCCGATTACATGATAGTGGTTATAAAGCCAAATTGGTTGGCATTTCACGCAAAAAAACATTTCACAATTCTTGAGCACGATAAAATGCTATTGTTACGTATCATCCGTGATACGGTTCAAGTGAAACGGTTGCAACTGTATGCGCTCTAAAAAGTTTTTTTTGATGTTGTTTTCGTCGGCGATGTGTACAACTGGAAATTGATACGCGTTTTCTTCTTTTGGTAAAGCAATATCAGTGTGTAATTCTTTTCGAATGCGACATTTCTTTGCTGTGTTTTTTTTTCACATTCAAATCTACGTTCGTCATTGCCATTGTGTTGATCAGCTTTCCATTGTCACTCGATTGATTGTGATTTAAATTTAAGCGGCGACCGTTATCGCTAATACATAGTGATTTTCATAGAAATACCACTCGGTCAAGCACTCGTAAAAATGCGAAAGCGAAAATGATCCAGCAGTCCATTTCAATGGAAACCATTAAAATGATTCAGAAAACATTGAAAAGACAATGTGTGATTTCTTTTTTTATACACAAAATATTGTTTTTTTTTCGTTTATTTGATTTAAGATTTAAATACATGTTTTCGTCGTTGAATTTCGTTACATTTTTATTAAATTTTTTTCTCTTTTTTTTTCTTCATCATGGTTTTGTTTCTCTTATAAATATATTACTTCATGTTTCATCGATACGTAATTATCGTAACATATTTTCATGGGGGGTTATTATTTTTACACTTTTGTTTTTTTTTTCATGGTCAATTCGAGAAAGGAATTTTCGGGCAATGAGTTGAGAAATTTTGGGCAATCACTGCTGTTGATAATTTTCAGTTGTCGTTTATGTTTTGTTTTGTTTGTCTGTTTATTATGATTTATTTTATGTGAAATTACAACCGCAATTTTTGCAAGACCGAAATGTGTTGTCAAATGAATGAAATCGATAAATAGATGGATGTATGTACCACGGGGGACAAGGGCAATCATTTATAATGAGAATTACTATTTGACTGGAGTATTTTTAAAAGGACAATCTTCAAAATAAAAAAAAAGATATATCACAATCACATTTGTTGAAACTTGTGTGTCGTCGTCGTTATTTTTGATTACTGTTTTGTTGATACGATTTATACATTAAATTTGAGATTTTTTTGAATTTGATTTGCAAATCCCTCGGTTTCAATTTGAGTATGATGATGAACTGGCACTACACTACCTATCTTGCGCCATATTCCAAATCATGTGCGCGCTCTCTAAACAACAGTAAATCTAATAACCATGGTGTTCGTCATGTCCATACTGTTCGTGGTGGTGTTCAACATGGTGTGAATGTTCAACGTGGTGTGGAGCAGAAATATGGTATGGAACGATTTCTTTGACAGGTGTTGGAACTTCTTTTACCACAGGGAATTTCACTAAAAAAATCAAAAAGAAATTTCATGATTATTTTAATATTAATTTTAATTACAAATTTAGATGGTTAGAGCTAACCTTCTTTGTAAACAGGATATGGCTTTTCAATGCCAACCTTAACTTCATAAGGGACTGGTTTTTCCACGGTGTAAGGTATCTTTTTGATCACTTCATAAGGCTGCAATGCGGAAAAAAAATTCGGTTAAAAAATACACTGCCAATTATGTTTTTATTTTACAAAAGAGCATTTAAATTCGGGATTACCTTTGGTACGGGGTATGGAACGTGGACGGGATATCTAGAAAAAATGGTCACCAGTTTTATTATTTACCATTGTATTCAATATACACTTACGCGTGCGTCTTATAAAACACAGCGTGACTGTGTTTTGTAAGATGCACGCGCGAACGTGTATTCGAATGAAGCGGCCGCGTCTATACTTTGTACGCGTACCGATCACTGGTTTATTCAACATTTTTTATAAAATTGAACTCACGGTTTGTCTACTTTGACAGGGAATGGCTGCAATGAGAAATACAATTTGATGTAGATCGATCGATTTATAAATGAAATAGATTTTTTTTTTCAATTTTTTACCTTAGGAACGTGCACAGGCACCTCGACTGGAATTTTCTTCTCGACATATACGGGGTAAGGCTTTTCGTGAATGACCTATTGAAATAAAAGTAATTGAGGTGTTATTAATTTGCTCCTGAAATTGTAGATATGGTGACATTGTAGATATGGCTTAAATACTTGCCTCGTACGGCTTTGGCACGGGTACAGGATAACTAAAGGAAAATTGCAAGCATTTTTAGTATTTATACTTCTTTTGTAGTATCAAATCCATTGAATATAACGATAGCACTTATGGCTCAATAAAAAATACTCCCTTATCGTTAAATTCAATATAGATGAATGGAACTTACGGTTTATCTACTGGAACTTTGACGGTGTATGGTACCTATTGAAATATATTTGTGTTTATTAAAACTTTTAGTCTCGACATGTTTTATTTACTCGCTCCTTTGTTTTATAAATAATTTAATTACCTTCTTAATAACTTCATAAGGCCGGGGCACGTCATAATGAATAGGCACCTTCACTGGGATTTTCTGAAAATATATTTTAATTTTTCGATTTAAAAAAAATTGAACGTAGAAGATCACTTAAAAAAATTGATTTTTTGTTGCGTTCACAATTTTCTTTCAACTTTAAAAAATGAACCTTGGTTTTTAACAATTATTATTCTTGAAAGATACAAATTATCCTCGTGAATAGAGCGATTTGTTGTAAAATACAAGAGAACACAGAATTAACTGATGTAATTTAATGCAATCAGTAAATATTCTACTATCGACGATCAGTTTTAAAAAACACAAGCATAAAATAAACTTAACACTCACAGTCTCGTGAATAACTGGATAAGGCTGAGGTATATGGACGTGTACTGGGACCTATGAAAATATAAGATCCTACCATTAACGCTAATCCAATTTGAAGTGATTTATGTCAGAGAAGATTTCAGAAAAAAATTGTCTTCTTTTAAATTTTTTTTTTTTTTTTTTGAAAACTCACCTTTTTTTCGACTGTGTACGGCTGTGGCACATGTACCTTTACTGGATATCTGAAAATAGCCATCACTTTTAATATTCCAACTCCAAACAACTACTTTGCAGTGACAGAGTCTGTCGATTCAAAAGTATTTCTGAAATAAAACTTACGGTTTATCTACGGGGACCTAAAAGACGAGAAAAAAAGAGAAATAATTTATTTTATTGCGTATTTTTATGTGCTGCACATTTTTTTCTTGCTGACCGCCTAACTTGAATTTCATAACCGTCCATAAAATCGCGTCAACAATAAATCAAAAATGCAATTTTCTTCATGTACATGACATTTTAAAGATCACTAATAATAACTCACCTTAACGTGAACTGGCACCTTCTTGATCACTTCGTAAGGCTATAATGGGTGGAGAAAATCGATAGATCGATCGAATTATAACTGAAATAGATTTTTTTTAAGTTTATACCAACCTGTGGCACATGCACTGGATATTTTTGGTATTCCTTCACAATGTACGGCACTTTCTGTGATTCATGAAAAAATTGCGATTTAATATTTTATCGTTTTTATCTTTTCTATTTAGAATTTAGCAAAAAAATATACCTTTTCGACAACATAGGGCTGCAAAACAAAACAGATAAAAGGTATAACATTGGTTTTTAATTTTTATTTTTATTTTTATTTTACCTGTGGGATTGGAACTTTAACTTCGTATGGGACCTTTTAACAATTAACAATTAACAATTAATAATTTTATAACAATTGTGAGAAAGAAAAAATAAATAAAATTTGGTATCAAACCTTCTTTTCAACGGTATAAGGAACGTGTTTAGTTATTGTGTATGGTACTGGTATTTTTTTCTCAACGGTAATATGTTTGACATGTTCATGATGATGCTCACTGGCGCCAAAATCGTGATTCTCATAGCCTCCATAACCGCCACCATGTCCTCCAAAGTCCCAACCTCCATGTCCGTAATCACCACCACCATATGCATAGCTTTCATGTCCACCGCCAAAAGATGCGTAATCACCTAACGAAGCGTGTAAACCTCGCTTATTTTTTGTCGTTTCACCATCTTTGGCTTCAACATTTGCGTCCTGTTTTTTCTCTGCTTCATTATTAACAGCAGCGGTAACGGCGGTGGCCGGTTTTGTTTCAGCTTCTGCTGATGTCAACGCCACTAACACAGCCAAGCAACAAGGGATAATCAACTGAATTGAAAATTGAAAATCGAAAATGAGGTGAAAAAAAGAGTCAAACAACAACTTCACACAACACACTGTCATTGAAAAATATTTTACAGTTGCACATATAATTAATTAAATTAATTAACACATGTTAATTGTTTGCTGACTATGCGTTGATTATATGTTCCGTTAACAAGTGCATTTAATAACGAAAATAAAAAAAAATTGTTTTAATTTTTTTTTCATTTGCCGCGCACACAAAAATCATGTTTTAAAATTTACTGTTTCCCGATATAGATTTGACGCGAATAACGAGTAATTCATTTCAAGCAAAAGAAAAACCGAAGAGAGAAAAAACAAATAATTATTTATCGATGTTTTTTCCGATAGCTGTTCAACTTCCACATTATTATGTGTTCAATCAACGAGAAAGCGAGCAAAAATAAACCGCAGTAAAAACGAAACCATTTCAACATGTATGCAAACAAAAATTGCATAAAATGCACATATTCCATACGCTTGAATTTGATAAAGTGAAAGAAAACAAACAACACTTTTCGTATCCGCATTTTTTTTTTCAATTTTTTTTCAAAAACTTGAGAATAATCCACTGACTGATACACACGATCTTTTTTTCTCTAATTTTTATTTTTTGCACTTGAAAATTCAGTCGGCACAGCACAATCAAAATAAAAATTGAAGATTTGAAATTAAAAAAATGATTCAACGCTTTGTGTTAGCAAAAAAAAAAAAAAAAATAATCCACAGGCAAAAATCAATAAGCACGTACCAATCGCATTTTCGATTTTTCACTAGAGTTTTTTTAGGTGTTGTTTAATTAGAAAAACAAACGAGCGACCAAAAAATCGGTACTAATTTGAAAACGGCTCCACACTTCGCTTATATACCAATGTCGATTTCCCCTTCTATCCAAATAGAGCGAACCATTGCAATCGGTGGCAGAGCTGTGAGTGTGCGCGCGCGCGGTAGCAAACAGCGTCTCTTTTCATTATATGTTAATGCAATAAAACAGTTTTTTTCGGTGTGCACGCGGACATCGCAAACGATCATTCCGTATATCTGTGTTCATATGGATGTGTGCGTGTGTGTGTGAGTGTGTATATTTCGAACGAAACCGAAAGTGGTTTATTGTTAATGTTGGCTTTTCATTTTCACTGATCCAATTATGCTTTACTTTTCTTTTGAGATCAACAGACGGTTCTCCGATGTGATAATACATTCACTCAACGATCGCTCAGCTGATGAGACTTTTAATGAACAAATATGCGACGCGAGAAAGAGATACGCATATGATAACGAACTACATAGCTATAGCGACACATAAAACGTATACATAAATTGGGCATTTTAGTGATTATGTGCGCCGAGGTCTGAAAATCATTTCAAGTCGAAAACAACGAAAGAAGCAGAAAAATATAAAATCTATGCATTCGACCGATTTATCTTGTTATGAGCTCATTCGAGCTTGGCGAGAAGAGGCAAATTACGTTTCGGATTGCAACAAAACAAAACGTTGTTTGGCACACAAATCTAAAGTAATGGCACCAATTTTGATGACTGATATTACATATTTTCGATCACTCATCAAACTGCAACAGAACTATCTAATAAATTTGCTAACGACTCTCCATTGGAGACACTTACCCACATATTACATACATGTTTCATTGGTAATGTGCATTCGAGCTTGCCGTTTAGTTGTTGTGTTGTATGTGTTTTTTTCTTCTTGTATGTATTATTGGGGTTTTTTTTCGTGTAAAGTGCATAATTTTAATTGAGTGTATCATTTGTTTCCTGATTTTTCCTACTTATTGGCTTTAATGCAAGCAAACGATAAATAATGGAATTGAAATACCGTCTACAATATGGTTTAGTTTCCGTTGCATATCGATCTATTTCATTCGTTCGCACTCGTTTGCTCATTCACAAAAATTACTTACAATTCGCTCGGTCGATTGCTCTGAATTGTGCATGTTAGATGCGATCGAATAGTGATTGTCCTGCACTCGTTCATGCCACAACAATACGCATGCGTAATTCAAACAAATTAATTCATTACATAATACCCAATGCTTTGATCTGCTTTTATTCTTCGAAAAAAAAAACCAAAAGCAAAAAGCATACGAGTTGTGAAATTGTCAACTGTCGCTTTTTCAATGTAACTGATTGCACAAATTCGATGATATTTTGTTTTATTTGTTTTATTTCTTAAGCGTTTACGTTTCTTCGGCATTATTATTATTATTATGATTATTATTTTTGCCTGTTCGTAAATTGATTCAGATTGCGTTCATTTTGGCGGGAGACACACACAAATACATATCTAATACATAATTAGAGAACAATTAATGGTGTGTGCCCGATTGGCACTTCGCGCAAATTCAATTTGCCGGATGGGATTCAAGCCATAAACATGGAATTTAATGTTCCATGAATGACTCTCCTCGTACGAAAAAAAATGGAAAATCTTGCACATTTGCTTGGAATTATGCCACAATCATCAGTGTTCATTGTAACAGCAATTAAAACACCAAATGGCAAACAAAAAATAGATATAATCACAGCAGTAGTTGTAGTAGCAACAATAATAGTATTAGTAAGAAGATCATGGCATGTTTCACAGCCCAAGTGGTCTAAATGTGGCAAAAAAACTTTATTTTAAATTCAAACATAACCGTTGTGAGTATGTAACGTACGTGTGTTTGAATAACGTACTCAATGCAAACAAACGATAAATCTCAGAGGTCAAGCAAAAGTTAACCATTTCAAAGGTTGTGTTCTTCGATGAGTGAACGCGAGAGTGAACATGCTGAAATATTATTATGTGAAGATTATGCATCTGTTTTGCGTTCCATTACAGTTGATTCTTCTGTAATGGCACACAATTGCCATTCGAGCGAATACCACAAAGTCTGACGTCTGATGGTAGTTCCAATTTTTTTTTTCTTTATTTAAGTTTTTCGTCTAAACCATGATCCATTTATCTATTCGGTTATGCAGACAATCACAACAATATAATTTCTGTGACACACTACTCGACTCTATTTGATATTCATTATTGTTGTTGTTGTTGTTACTTCTGCTTTTCTGCATTTATTTCATTGCGCACAACGACAAACCGTACACATTGCACAATAATAATGTTCATGCGACATGATTTTCTATATATACATTATATTATATGTATATATCTCTCTCTCCAATTGCTTCAAAACTTACAACAATATTTATGCTGCCGGTTTGCTTTTGTCGTTCACTGTGCAAAAAGTCACAAGTCATTTGTTTATTTTTAAACTCAATTGAGTGTATAAGCTATGTATATTAATAACACAGAGATGAAATTGAAATTTATAGAAAAAAACCGTGGTTATACTCTAGTTTGCATTGATTTTTGTGCACTGGATTCATTTCATCTGTTACCGGTGGGAGCTACCAAGAGCAAAGCCATTTCGATGATCGCAATTAAAAAAGCGTTTGTACACATTCTGTCTCTTGTCATTTCTGATCGTTGTGTATATTTGTGCACATAAAATGTTGGTAATTTGTTTTGAAAAAGTCACGGTGTTTGACGGTGATGTGGATTGCATCAAATTGCATTTTGGGCCGACGGAAACGATGAACACTGAACGGCCCAGCCCAAGCACAGTGATAATATGATGTAATCGAACACAAAAAGTCGAGAAAGAGAACCCGAGAAGAAAAAAACACAAGCAACGAAAAATAAAACTGATATTAACGACTCGAGTTGGTTCAACACGGCTATAACAAACCATGATGCTTCGGTGCAACAACAATTTTCCACATCTTTCACGATTACGTGGCATAGCAACGGTAAAGTAAGACACATGAAACTTGCAAATCGGTTTTTTTGTTGTTGTTTTTCGTGCTGCAAAAGTAGAAAAATGGTGGAATAATCAAAATAATTTGCATTTTACAAAATAAAATCGATTTCAATTGCGCAAAAACTGTGTCTTTCTTTGCAAATTCCATTCAGAAAACGAATGGTATGTTGATTGAAAGTAACAAAGTGAATTCTCATCTACATTTATTCACACATTAAATTCCAAATGCATCAATTTCAATGAACATCAAATCATCGAAATGAGTAAGAACATCGATTTGTTTTTTTCAATTTCAGTTGAAAATGTGTGTCTATCGCTTTGGAGAATATCTATATTTGCCATTGCTTAATTTTCTCATTTCGGTTCATCATATTTAGTTGATTCGGTTTGCGGTCGTGCAACAATATTGATCGCGATCGACACAACTTGTGTCACCTTTTTATTCCATTTCAATGCAATCAATTCTAAGGTGGCTAATCGATGAAACTGTGCTCTCGAGGAGATTGTGGTATATTTCGACGAAAGCTACCGTTGTTTCAAGCATCAGGGCTTAGAAACTTTAATCTATTTACACATCTCATTTATATGCAGTATGTCATTCGTGTAAAAGAGACAATTACAATGACAACACTGGATTTAAATTACAATAGAAGCAACAGGTAGGACCATTTATCAATCAAAAATTGCATATTTATACTTTCAACAATACATGAGACATTCGTTCAATGCATTGAATCGCCATTGTCATTGAAATTTACTTTGCGGACTGTGTCGAATGGGAGCTTTCCCAAAGAAACCTAAAAGAAGTATACCGACAAAACAAAAGACTTCAACGCTGAATATTAGCAAACGGCTTCCTATATCTTGTTCAAAACCAAATGGCATAATTTCAAGTATTTAAGTAAAATTTGTGTTAATTAAATTCAACGTAATTCATCATGTTATGCAAAATTGCCTTCACGTTGACAGCTTAAGAAGCTATTGACGCTATGAGAGTTCTGTTTCCATCAAGAATGAACTGATTCATATTTTCCTTACCTTAGTATTTACATTTGTAATTAATGCTACAAACATAACAATTACCCGACTGAAAATATGAAAATTCAATTTAAAATTTATGTGCATTCATAGAGAGAGAGAAGGAAGAAGAGAATACCCTTCACTTTGTTGTATACGATTGGTCAAAATGATTGCTTTATTGCGCAATGGATGTAAACTATCAATGCAAATTATCCACTGTAAACGATGTTCGGTGCTCATATAAAGCAATCTATACCTTGTTCCTTGTATGACATTTTGGTGGTGAATAAACTTTTTTGTTGAATGTTCGCATTTTTTCGCTGATCACTGCATTCTCTTTATTCAATTACAGTCTGGTAGATATGCGATCGAAAAGCGATCGTTTTTTCTTAACATCGTGAATGAAGTGTGCAATAATGTAATAAGTAAGACCGACTGGAGATAATCAAATACTTACTGTATGTTTTTGCTGTTGTCGATGTTTGTCGTGCCTTTTTTTCGACAATCCGATAAACGTCAAATTAAACCGAATTGATCTCTTTTGATATGTTTTTTTCTTTAATGTGCATAATGCAGATCGATTTCATATTTCGAAGACGCATGCTGAACGTAAACAAAACTTTACGATCGCATTCGAAGACAAAAACACCGACTGAAAGGTGAACGGAATGAAAGAAGAATTAAATTGAAATCTATTTCAAGGTTCAAAAATGGTGTTAATATGTGCTCTCCCCTTCGTATTCAGACAACATACGTTGAGACGAATTGACTGTTGAATTGTAATGGCGTCGATCGATGACGATCAATTTAATTCAATTGTTCCAATGTCCCAAAAAAATTAGCTTTGTTGTTTTTTTCTTCATTCTTCGTATTTCTCTGTTTTATATTCTTCAACATGGTCTCAACATGAGATTAGTACGAAATCAAGTCTCTCGTGACACCACCAAATGACTCAATCTAATTATAAATTATGTGTTCGATTGTAGTTTATCCCTTTTGGTGTCTCAAATGTT